AGAATTTGAGTTGAGTAGGCACTAGAGGAGAATGCAATAGGATGCAAGTGTCAGTATTGGCTACAATGAATACAGAGAATCCTCAAATCACCTCTTAAAAGTTCATTCAGCTAAATTGGAGCATAAAAATAAAGAAAACATTTGGAAAACAAGGATATTTAGTAGCTGCATTCCAAAGTAAAGTACACTCTTAGACATACATTTACCAACTTGCCTGCTGTTACATATACTCTCTAAAACGCTATAAATTTTTATGATATGCCCTGGTCTACCAGAAAAGAATTACTATATTGTGACAAATGAAAATATGGATCAATTCATCCAGTAGGACTGCAGTTCAGATTCAAACCATTTTCACATAAAACCAGCCTGCTGAAATACGAATTTAGAATCATGTGATCAAGCAGACACGATGATTCACTGGATGCATACATTACAGAAAGTGAGGAAGTGGATTCTTTTCCATAGTTCATAGGTTTCACATAGCATAAGATCCTGATGCCATATATTCTCGTCAGGACATACACAGTTTTCTTCACTATCAAAAGCAATACCAGACTGCTATACTGCAGAATAGACAGCTCACTCACCCACTGGCATGTGAAAGTATCCTAAGTTACATTGACACCCTACAGATTTGTTGATTTAATTAAGGTGTTACTGACTCTGTCACTTAAATTCTTTCCATTTTGAACAGTGTTAAGCTTTTTCTCCATCTTTATTGCCTGATGTTTTTCTGGGTATAGAAAAAAAGACTACAGTACTAGTATGGAAACCCAGAGAAAGCCGTAAGTGCTGTGCAGGTGTGTTGTGTTACCTTTTAAGGAGCAAACTACCAGTAAGATGGGAAAGCAATGCCCATGTGGTATCTCTTTATTTTCTGGTAGCTAATGATCATAAAAGGTATCTGTAAATATCTGAAAAGCAGGGCAATATGTTCATAATAATAAAGTAATAAATTGTTTTCAACCGATCAGTCAGTAATGATTTCATACTCATATTATTAAAGTAAGCATAAAGTTAGAGGGATTTAATATAACTGAAAGCCTGGGTTATAATTGTGGTCAGTCAATATTCTCCTGCTCAGTTTTGGATGTTAATGATGTTCAAAACTCAGATCAGTAATTGCTAGCAAAAATTTTAACAGCATTTTGCACAAGTAGCCCCCTAAAGCACATCTAAAACAAAGTAAAACCATGTAAGTTAATATCATTGGAATCATCTACATACATATGTCACAGAATCATAAGGTCTGTGTTGGAATCAAGGTCTGTGTTGGAAGGGACATTAAAGGCCAGAATTCCAACCTTCCCACCGTGATCATTTGCAAATTATTACTATTATGACCCTGTGTTTGCTTTCCAGATCTTTCCTGGAAAAAAGCGTATACCTTTCAGTAACTGTTCTTGATGTTGCTAAAATGAATGGGCAAAGATAGACAAGTGGTACAGTGATATGATACCTGACACAATATTACAAAACTGATGACCATACTCTCAGTCTAATTTCAAAATTGTTTTGGAGGTTTTTCAATGGTTTTGTTGTTATTGCATGGTTTGGATATTATTTTATATATATATATATATATATATACACATATATATCACACAGTGCTTTGCTATTCTGAAATTAATACATAGTTTTTAAACCTACACACTTTTGTACAATAATTCAAAGTAATGGCGACCAAATTTTTCCACGGATCATCCAAACCAGCACTAGTTAAGTGAATTATTTTGTGACAGCGTACTGTAAATGTGACTCCGTGCTTTCTCCTAAAAATGATTGAGATGACTTTGAAGTTTGGAAAAAAATTGTCAAGTGTCATCAGTCAACTTTCTGATTCTTGTGATTTCTACATTAAAGATAGTAATATATTCTATTCTAAGTATTTAAAATTCTCCGAAGCTAAGCATAAGCTAGAAATACTGTTCTGCACATTGCTTACATACATGCTTCCTAATATTGTTGTACATATTCCCTATTTATCTTGAAATTATCTGTTTTATCTACTATGGGTGTGGAATAAAATGATATAATTTGTGTACAGGAGTTAAGTTTGGAAAAGAGAGGTAAGGCCAATTTGTGATTCCAAATGAGCAAGGTGATTCTGTGCTCTGTTATTTCTTTCAAGTTAAAGAGGTGCTTTTGGAGAACCAAACCAATAATTAAAATATTTTAAGTATTTATTAACAAATGCTAAATAAACAAGCGTTATCTATGTATTCAAAATTTGAATGCACAGCAGGTTATACAAATTTAAATACCTCTAAATTTCTAGTGCTTATGTTAAACATAACTATGAAATAAATAAATAAAGTTAAAATGTTTAAAAATTCATATGCTGTAAAATATTTCATATTCTTACACGGTTAAGTAATCTTTTTTTAAATCAGCCTACCTTGTTCACACTATTGTTATTGAACAGAAGGCTTGTGTTTTATCCTGATGATAACTATTTTAACACAAAGAAAACTCTCAGAAGTACAACGAAGTTTGCCATCACACAATTAAATTTAAAATGTGTGTTGTATTATTTTATGTAAAAGCAGTGTTTCTTTCTTTCTTAAACAGTGTATAGAATCTTCTGTTATATGTTGCAGAAAGGTAAAGAATATCACAGATCACAGAGAGATTAGATCAGTGTCAGAATAGGGCACATTTGAGTACTGGCTTCTGTTTTGGTGTGAATGACTTAGTGGTTGACAGCAGAAGTAACAGATGGGAAAAACAATTGGGTCAGAAAAACGACAAGACAAAAACCAAGCACTGCAAAAATAATAATAGCATCATTTGAAAAACATAAATAGAAATCAGACATATTTTACTTCATCTATTACTTTAAATAATGCCCATTACTAATATATTGATCCTTGAATTCTGCTACAATATCCTCATCTTCTAAAAAATACAGTCCCAAAGAAGTACTGAATTACAATTAGATACTAGAACACGGATATACATGGAAGTTACAAGGCACACCAGAGCCTCCAGAGTTTCATTAGGCTAGCCTGTTTAGCATGAGCTGCAATTGTCCTCCAAATTAAGATGACAACGTTCAATTTCAAAGTTTCAGAAGACTTAAGGACCTGCAAAAAGCATTTTGTCCCTTTACTGTATTTAGTAGCTGCAAAATACAGAGAGCACAAGGAAAAAGCTTTGCAATCTACACTAGGAAACCTGCTTTAGCAGGGGGTTGGACTAGATGATCTCCAGAGGTCTCTTCTAACCTCCACAATTCTGTAACTCTGTATGTGAAAAAGTGGGATCATTTTTCTAAAGCCTGCCCCGTGTGCCTACGAATACTTGGTAATTCTTCCAGACCACTGAGATCTTCCATGTTGATTTGTCAGCTTAGGTTGCATGCACAGCATACAGGAAGTTCAGTTGATCAAAACTTTACTCAAGAGATGTTACAGATATAATCACAACAAATTTTGTGCATCTGAGTACCAAACTCACTGCCTACTGGGAGATGATGAACATCTCTCTTAAAATAGTTAAAATAGTTTGATAATTTGCTTTGGCTGCAGTTGCTAGCAATACTAAGAAATGTTTATTTGATTAGTTAACAGCTAATGAACACAATGAGCACTCCTAACCAGCTCATGGTTGGCTCCTAATTTTAACTGTTCCTCCCCATAATGACCATACACCTAGACACAGTAGGGGGAAAACCAATCAAACAGGATGATGATACAACTTTGTAATCACAAATGTCCATAAAAAGTCACATTTCAATACCTTTCTTTGTAAGTATAGATTTAAAGCTTGCAATTCCTCAAATTTAACAAATCTCTCATTTCTGTGATCTAATCTCAGTTTTCATCACCTTTTTATATAACTTATGTTAAATCATAAAGTTAGATTTTTGAACAATGTATCATGGGTACACTCACAGAATCTCAAGGTAATTCACCCAACGACTTCAGAAAAGAAAACTTAGTTCAGATGCTATTTAAAATTAAAATTTTCTTTTTGGTTCATCATACTGTGAACATTCTTTAAAAGAAGGACTTACGGTCCTTGAGATGATATAAATTATATGACCAAGAAAAACACGACACCACTCCACACAATCACCATATTTGGCCTTCCCTTTAGATGTCTGTGTGTAGCCTCAATGTGAAGAAAAGCGAGGAAATAGAGACTAATGACCAGTGAATTAATAACAGCTAACACAGGTGATGCGATTATACACTTTTTTCTTATGTAATAAAAGAATTAGGCTAGTTTGTCACTTAACTCTCTCTCAGGAACCTTTAGTATGGTATTCTTTTCTTTTCTATCCTCCCTTTGTTTTCATCTTCAAAGCACTTCACAACCTACCTCTGTAAGCACCTACAATATCAAGACAACATTCTCCGCGTGTGACAGAAATTTCACCTTTCATTATTTGCAAAACAAACTTTTAACAAAGCGACTTGGGTGTTCTCTTTCTTAACAAACGTTATACTAGAAAGACACATGAAAGACACATCTGGGTTTTGGAACATTCTGTTTTATTGATACGAGGCTGTTTCTTTAACCCAGATATTCTTTTTTGTGTAGTGCACAAAATAAAGTGTAGTGAAAGTATAAAGAGACTTAGGCAAAAAACACAGATGACTACTTTTGTAAGGCATCCCACTAAGGATGCGATTCATTTGTGAATAAATTGTAATTACATACAATTACAGATGAGCAGAATGAAAAGCTAAAGTGACTGTACCAGTGTGTCATTAAAATATACCAAGCTTTCACAATCTAGTTCACAAATACACTACGAAGACGGAATAAATCTCATATAGAACATAGCAGTCAGCCTCATTTTTCCCTCTATCAAAGTTATTTAAAAATGGCTCCTTAGAACATTTTATCTCACCTTCCTGGATATATTTTTGCCATTTCAAATACCAAACACTTAGCAATCATATATATACGTTTTGTTATTACTAAAAATGAATGATTTTTTTAATAGTTACGAGAATGAGCACATTTTGAAAACAATTGGCACTTACCTTCACTTCTTGAGCTCTCCTGATTCTTTTCCTGCTGCAATTAAAAGAAAAAATGTATTATTTTAAGTTATAGTTAGCATGTAAATCAAAGACACACAAGTTCAAAAGAACTCAGTCTAGTTCATCCTCCTTCCTGTTCAGCTGTACTGCAGAAAGATTATTATACTGCCTGCTTTTAAAATCCCCTAATATGTTTCACAATGACAATGATTGAGCACCAGAACACACTACCCAGAGAGATCACGCAGTCTCTGTTACACTACATCTATCTTTGGAAACATTCAGAATTCACCTGGCTAAGACCCTTTCCAATGTGATGTTGCTCTGAAGTTAGACCTGCCTTAATCAACTGGTTGAACTAGCTGGGTGTCTAGGTGACCATATGCCTAGATGATTCCGTGAGCTAAGGAGGGGTTGTCCAGAACCCCAGAAGCAGAGTTTAACTTTTATCAGAATTATAAAGTTTCACCCCAACTGACAAAATGGCTGCAGGACACTGACAAGAGAAATGTTTGCCAGCCTGGGAAATGCAGTTCTGGCAGCTCAGCCTTCATCCTATTGAGTCAGCAAGGGAACCAAGGACATCCCTGAAGTGCATACGGACACCAGAGGGTCAGAGATGTCCTGAAGATACTACTGGTGAAAATGAAACAAGCATCATAGGAAAAACTTATGACCTCAGAAGGTGAACAATAGCCTGGGAAGGCCTGAAAAAGTGAGTACTGATGTGAGAAAGTTTAGTTTAAAGAAAAGAAAATAAGAGACAATCATCTATTGGATGTCTTAAGAGAAAGACCAAAACTAACTGCAGCTATTGGTTTCCTGAAGTGATCATAGAATCACTGAGGTTGGAAAAGAACTCTAAGATCATCCAGTCCAGTCATCCACGTACCACCAATATTGTCCACTAACCACATTCCTCAGCATCACATCCACGCAATTCTTGAACACCTCCAGGGACAGTGACTTCACCACCTCCCTTAGTAGCCTGTTTCAATGCATGACCACTCTTTTAGAGAATTTCTTCCTAACATCCAACTTGTATCTTCCCTAGCACAACTTGAGGCTGTTCCTTCTCATCCTTTCTCTGTTATCTAAGAAAAGAGACCAACACTAGCTTCGCCACAATCTCCTTTCGAGGAGTTTCAGAAAGCTTGTTGTAGAGATACAGAGGTATCCTATACCCTTTTATATCTCAGTGCTACAAAAAGGGTCTGATTTTGATCCAAACTGGAGATTTCCTCTCTGAGAAATTTCCTGTGCTCCATGTGCTCATTTCTATTATTATTTTTTTCTCCACAAACAGATGGAATTTTCACTGGAACGCTGGGTTAACTCCGTGATATTGCAACATCAGCTCTGCAATGCTCCACAGACTGGCTGCCGTATCATCTTTGAAGTGAGGCTCTGTCCTTTACTTTGAGGCCTTTCTCAATCTATCTCTAGAAGTTTCTCTGAAATCAGTTTTAGACTCTGCAAGATCAGTCCCTCTGAGATCAGTTTTCTTTGCAAGATTTCTTTGAGTCTTCTTTGGCCTAGACCCCCCTTCTGCAATTGGTTTGATACATTTGGTACAGCTGGTTTTATGAATATTCATAAATGCACATAATATGTACAATATAGATACGTATAGCCTATTGTAAGTGTACCTCCTGTAAGTTTGGAACCTGCAGTACACATGTATGTTCACTGCTGTAGCATTTTGATAGGTTGGTTGAACCTTTAACTCTATACTAGTTGCTGTATTACTTATTTTACTATGTCTAATTGCCTTCCTACTAATCCCAATTACTGCTACTCCTAATTAGTAGTATTTGCCAGATATAAATGCTTCCGGGTTATATTTATGGATAACAAGTTATTATATACATAGTTACTTTATTAATCACAAAATACAACAATGGTGATTTGTGGTGATAAATTGAGATCTTTTGAAATAAAGTTCCCATGTCTTTGTGCATTACAAAATCTTATGAACTTACTGTTATGAACTTTATATAGCTAGGGGCTGGGTAATCTGCCCTGTTGGATCATGCCAAAAACAAACAAGCTTTTCTGCACGTTCAGTATTAAAAATACTGAGCTAGTTGTATTCAATGACTGTAATGCAATAGAAAGTGCAGCAATGACAGCAGCGTAACAAAGTCCTAGGCTGCAGAAAGTGAAAACTTCTTCAAATGCAACAGCTATAGGCGCAAAAACAAAGGAAAGAACCTACTCACTCACTCAGAAGACCTCATGTACGTAAGGAACTCCAGTGAGATACCCTCACCTCCACTGCCAACCCTTAAATGAGATCTGGGAAAGGGTGAATCCTGGCTCCACCCCTTCCAGTCACACAGCTACATTCCACACACCTGAGCTCTCCTGGGTTGGCTCTGCCTTCCCACCAGGTTCTCTACCACTGGTTCAAGCCCTGACTTAGCATTTCTGTTACAACAATACAAGAAAAAGCAATGTGAACTTAAGGCAGCAATCTATCCCCAAAATTTTACACAATAATTGCTCAAGAAGATGTTCTCTATATTGTATACTGCAAAACACTCTTCAAATACTTTCTTCTTTATAAATTTGTACCAGGAAAATGGTGTTGGGAATATGCTAAACGTTTTGGTTTTGTTTTTCAATTATGGGATACGTTTATTTTAATTATTTTGACAGAACAAGGAGACATTTATTTTTGCTATTACTGCAATTCCTAAGTAGTATCTTTAATATTATGTAAACTATTGGTAACAAAGTGAATGTAGTGATTACTATCCAGGCCTAATTGCCCTATTTTATTTAATCTATAAGCTCCAAAGATCTATCATTAGGGTGAAGTATCAGCTTTACTGTGCCTTAAACATGCCGAGATTATATGTATGAAACTACGGAAAGGCCTTCGGACACTCTCACTTAATTTGATTTATTAGCTTCAGTTCTAATATCGTATTATAGTGTGTTATCTTGTATTCGATATCTTATTTAGTAAATTAGTTTGTTTGTCCTCAGATTGTTGCCACTGTTTTGTTTTTAGCCCCGTATCTCTACATTTTTCCCCTTTTTTCCCTTATCCCTTTCCCTGGGTGTGGGTCCCCTCACCCCACTTGTCATGGAACTAGTCCAAACCAGCCCAAAGACCACTGACATTCTTGGTGGAGAATGAGGGCATAGGCCGCTTTTCGACCTTTAGAATGAATCTTTCTCTGCTCTCAGAGAGCTCCATTAGAAAGTTTATCTCTACTCCAGGGTCCCATAATTGGAAACACGACCTTGAAAGTCCAGGTGTACTGCCAATATTGTGGGATATTTGTGAACTTCTGGATGCTGCTATCTTGCTATTGTAAAAAGAAAAAAAAAAAATGCTCTCTCTTGTAAAACTGCTCTTCAAGGGAATGCATTCTATCACTTTTTCTCAGAACATACCAAGACTTAGTTAAGTTTGCCACTCTGTTCTATAGAGCTAGAAGTACATATAATTCAATTGAAAACACTGACAGAAATACTTACCTGGTATCTGCATACAATGTGGCATACAACTCCAGAGGGAGTTGCTAATTCTACAGAACTTGTGGTTTTTAAACAGTCTCCCAGTCTCTCCTTTGAATCATTTATGCGGTTTTTTAATGCTCATCCGATAACCATGATGACAGTCTTCACTGGTATCTTCATTTATCATATTTTGAGGAAGCCTTCCTCAAAGCCAGAGAATACTGAGTGGCAGGGAGTGTGGAGGAACTTGGAGAGACTTTAGAGAGATGGACATCCCCGGTGTCATGGAACTTGAACACCTGCAAGATCCTGGGAGCCTAAGCAGATATTTGAGACCGATGTTGCAGCTCAGGCAGATCTGAGGACGCACAAATGATTTAGGGCCTGACTTATGCTTACTGGCCCTTATTCATTAATCTCCCAGAGAGTGAGAGAGTCTCTGAAATTGAGAAACAGAGTCTCCAAACCAAAAGAGAGAGCCTCCAGGAGAGAGTCCTGACTGAGACTGAGAGAAAGAATCTTCAATTCCAGAAAGTATTCTCGCTGAGAAACAGAACCTCCGAACTGAGCGAGAGAGTCTCTGAGCTGAGGACAGTCTCCAATCATAGAGTGAATCTCCAATCCGAGAGCCAGAATCTCCAGTCTGAACAAGACACCCTACAAAATGAACGAGATGCCTTCCATCCGAGCATGACGCCTTCCAAACTGAGCAAGACACCCTCCAAACAGAACAAGTCAAACTTCAATGTCAACAAGACCTCCTCCTAAGCGAACAAGTCAGACTCTGAGCTGAATTGGAGATTAAGAGCATCGAAACTGACCAACCTGGCCAATCACAGGAGGCACTGTAATCAATTTCAGTTGCTCCTATAAGAGGATGAAAAATGAAATGAATGTCACCTTATTTAGCACAGAAGAGGAGGAGGAGAAAGTAGACAAAGAAGGTCCAGTGGAACAGTAAGACTGTCGCATATTGCCTTGTGGCGTTACCTTCATGATTAGGGATATGAAGAAATGACATAAAAAACCCACTGTTGCACTTCAAGCATGTGTAAAAGAATTACAAGACAGATCAACTACCAAGGTGAACTTCTTCAAAATGGTGACTGCTCCAGTTGTTGTGGGACACGGCAAAAGCTATAAGAGCAATAGAGATAACAAATAGAGGAGCTCTGCCTCCAGCCAGGAGGGGGGAAACCATTGACACAGCATTAAACTGAACAGTAAAGGAATCTGATTTCCTGTTCTAAAACAATATGGCAATGCTCCTTTCAACCCAATCCTGCAAATCTACATCAATGCGTGTTTTTCTTTTTCTCATGTTGTTTTATAACAACAAAGTGGGTCAAAACCTGCACCTATCTGAAAAGCACATCTTCGAAACAGTCCATGTCTACATGAAATGCATTGGTCAGATTTAAAGAAAAGAAAGAAAGAAAAGCCCACACATACTTCTGTTTTTATTGACTATAAAATGTGAGCTACCTGATTTTAAAGCTTTTTCACAAGCAAGTCTAATGTTTCCTGAATACAATAAATGGTATTCCTTAATTACAGCCT